CCCCCCCAATGGCCTATTTCAGAAGCCTTTCATTTATATGTTACAAATGGGTTAGAAAATAATGGCTAATGTCCCCTTGAAAGCCTAAAACATCACGTGATACACATCTTGGCATCTGTACTTTGATTTGCAAGGTGATTTCTCCCTCCTGTGATCCCTGATGTAGTGGTTTCTAGAAAGAGCGTGGTTTTGGCCTATCTCATCACGCTCAGTCTTCTCGGCCAGTCCTGTGAGGAGGTTTTAGTGAGCCGGAAACGGAGGTTAGTTCCTGCACACGCATGGCTACAGACACTCGGGGTGCACTGCTCCACTAGTCCTGAGCTTTGCGCATTCTGTTCTCTCATGGACGGGAACTGAACAGTATTTCTACCCTAATTGTGTGATGCACATTTCATCAATCCCAAGCATTTCTGTCATTTTGAAAGCCCGTCCGTGTAACATTCGGGAAGTAAGCATAATCCTTATTGCTGGGTCGGGGGTACACTTGTGTGCTGAAGACAGCGAAAACGTTCCTACCCCTCTAGTGGACTGGGCACTGCAGGGGAGGCAGTGGCATTTCAGAGCAGTCCTCTTGGAGAGGAAATGCCCGGCAGGAAGCTGGGGCCCATTTCCACAGGGAGGGTCTGAGGGGCGGGTCTACAGAGCACTTTCTGAGGTCGGCTCTCGCCACGCTAAGCGGGGTTTTGGTCCTTTAAATTCATGTAAGTAACCTGCTTGAAGATGAGTTCCAAGTGCGAGCGACTCGCGTGGCCCAGGTGATGCACCTCAGCGCACAGGGTGGGCAGGCTCGTCCTGAGGGTCAGGGTGTTCGAAGTGTTCTTGCTCGAGTCAGAATGAAAAGCAAACCTGTATTTACGCCCCAGCTGGTAGGACAGGCTGGTTCTGACGAATGCACTGACAATCAGCTAGGAAAGAATGTCATAATTTTTTTCCTTAACGACTCGCTCGGGTAGGGAATCAGCAGTGCCTCTCCAAGAAGGAGGGACCCCCTCCTGCCCCCTCCCTACCCCCCAATCCATACTTGCGCTGCCCTTACTGTCTGGGGTGCACTCGGCTGGGCAGGCCAGGGCTGTGCTGGGAATGAAGGTGGCACAGATGTCATGACCCACCAAGCCAGGCAGCAAGGGGAGCCTGGGGGAGCAGCCCTCAGTCACGTCTGTTCTGCTCCGACTGCCCTCTGACCTTTATTCTGAGTGAGCGGCAAACACATGTGCTGGAGGTGCTGAGCCCTCTTGTGCTGCGTGGGTGGGGGGCTAGGGGACGGTGCAGCAGAGGGAAGGACAATTAGATGAGACCGTTGCTGTCATCAGAGTCAAAGCAAACCCACAGAAGCTCTTCTGGGACTGCTGTTTCCCCTGCCTCCTGGGGTCCTCTGAGGACAGCCCCCTCGTGGGGAGGTGAAGATGCCAAGGGTCGGAGGGAGTGTCCCAGGATGGCCGCCGCTCCTGGAGTGCTGTCGATGGATGCTGTGCTAACCCGCTGCTCCACTGTCCGCAGCAAGCATGAGCCAGTGGCGTGGCCACAAAGACTGAGGTCAGAACCAGGAACGCATAGGCGCTTTGGAATCCTGGCACTGTGGTCAGGCCCAGACCCACCGTTTAGTGGGAGCTGGTGGTGCCGGCCCCAAAGGCTGATTGGAGGAGAAATGTTGAGTCCGAGGGTCTGCCTGGTCACGGAGGGTGACAAGGGGCTCTGTACTCGTGTCACCGCTTCGTGTATGTCCTGCTGGAGCTTTTACTCAGGCCTCCTTTTGGGGTGGGGATCTTGCTTCCAGCCTTGGTCCCCGAGGTGCCTGCTCTTGCCATTGCTGAGCCTTTACCTGCAGTGAGAACACAGCGTGTTAGGAGGGAGACTCGGGGCCCACATAGAGGAGACGGTGATATTCCTGGGAGGATTTATGGTCTTGGAAACCCACATGGGCGGTTCTACCTTGTGCTACAGGGTGGTTATAAACCGGATTTGTCTCGATGGCAGTGAGTTTGGTTTGCTTTGGGGAGGCTGGGTGCAGGGATGTGCCTTCGCTGTCCACTTGTGCAGGTCGATATCAGAACCATGGACAGTGTCAGGCTGAATCAGATAGAGAAAATGCAAAGGGAGAGATGGAGATAGATATCAAGAGAGCAAGCACTTGAGCATGTGTACGGGGTTGCGGGCAGAGAGAGAAGTAGAGAGCTCCGTGTGGTGCCTGCTGGGTCCCAGAGGGAAGCAGGACCGAGGCAGCGGTCAGCCCTGCAGTCAGCACTCCCACCCCGAGAGAAGGCAGGGAGAGAAGACCAGGGACCACCACACCACAGGAGCGAGATGCACTCAGGGCGGGCTACGTCTGGGCCTGGACCTCCCCAGTTAGTGGTTGCTGTGAGGAGCAGGCAGCCAAATCCCTGAGCAAAACACACTGAGTACCCTTCTCACCACACGGCAGTACACGGGCCACTCCTCACACAGGTGTGGATCCAAGGTCTTTTTCAACAACTAGAACACTTGAGATCTTACTGTAGGACATCTTAAATCTGACAGAAAACCGGTGGTGGCCTATCTGTGTAGTACTCCAGTTTCACCTGTCTACCTGCTTCAGGACAAGACGCAGACAGCAGCGTACCCTGGGGTCACTGGGGAGCCTCAGGAGCTAGTGGCCACTCACGAAGGCCTCATAGACGCTGAGGGAGACTGGGGGCAATGGCGGCAGAGTACGGGCAGCTTACCCAGTGGAGGCACCTGTGCCTTGTATAGGACGTGTGTCTTGCGCATGTTCATGGTGCAGCCGGCAGGACCCATCAGGTGAACCTTCCATGCCTGTAAGGGGAGGAGAGATCAGAGACATGTGTTCTCAGGCCACTGAGGCAGCTTTGGCTGCTTCTACCACACCAGAGACAACGTACAGCTAATGCCGAAGGTGAGGGGTAGCAGCCAGCCACAGTGCAGGAGGTGGCTCTGCAGCCTGTACACACTGCCCCCAGCCAACGGAGCACGCCCGAGGTCTGCACCCCCTGCGTCCCGGGCGGGTGTTGTGTGGTCAGGAGGGTGCTGCAGGTATGGTGGGGCCCAGCTACTTTGCTGGCCCCACATCTGGGAACCTGCATGAGAACCTTGCAGCCAAGTGCAGCAGGGCTGGGTTGCCCATGGGCAGAGGCCCCCATAAGGGCTCAGCGCCTGATGCCTGACACAAGCGGGCACTGCCAACCAGTCATCTTTGGAGGCCCCAGCCTCCCTCCCCTGCCTCTACCCTGATGTGAGATGGGCAGGTGGGCCTGGGTGACCAAACGTCTCCTCGTCAAATCACAGGCTGGCTCTCTAGGGAGGAGCAGGAGGGCATTGCACTTTATGTGAAATTTAATTCCAAAACTGGGCTGGGCTGTTTTATTAATCAAAAGGGATCAGAATACTCCAGAATCTGGCCAAGATGTCATCTGAATCCACTGCTGTCAAATCCATTCTGATTCACAGTAACCCTACAGCACAGAATAAAACCCGGTAGCACAGATTAGAGCCCTATAGCACAAACCCGACAGCACAGATCAGAACCCGGAGCACAGACTAGCACACTGCTGTGGAATCCATTCTGGTTCACAGTGACCCGGAGCACAGACTAGCACACTGCTGTGGAATCCATTCTGGTTCACAGTGACCCGGAGCACAGACTGGCACACTGCTAGAATGGAATCCATTCTGGTTCACAGTGACCCGGAGCACAGACTAGCACACTGCTGTGGAATCCATTCTGGTTCACAGTGACCCGGAGCACAGAACAGAGCTAACTGTCCGCAGCACGGTCATGGTGACCGCTGCACCTTTGTCACGTAGAGTGTAGTGAGTGCCCCCCGGGGGGTCTGAACCGTGGAACTTTGGTTAGCACTGCACCCCCGGGGCTTTTCCAGGTGCCCTGAGGGAGGCCCCAGGGGACGGACGAGTGATGGCAAGAGTAAGGAAAACCACTCAATGCTTTGCACCACTACGTGCAGAGTCCATAGTAAAGCCATTGATGAATGACCTGGTAAGACAGCAGGTGAGTGTAAGTGAATGGAGAGAGGGAGGGAGGGAGGGAAAGGGAGAGAGAGAGAGAGAGAGACAGACAGAGAGAGAGCGCGCGAACGTGAGCTGGAGCACTGTGCCCTCTGAATACAGGGTAGGGTGTGGCTGTGGGCA